TCTTTCAAGAGAAAAGGTCTATAAGCCTTCAGTTTCAAAGCAATTTCCTCTAACTTATTGTATTTAGACTTGAATATATGATAGGGTTTTAAAAAATATGCAAGCATGTGTTTGAATTCAATTTACGAGGCCTTATTATTAGAAATATATAGCATTTTCATGAGTTCCCATGCATGCAAACTAAGGCATGTATGAGCCAGCGTGGTTGCCTGGTTGGCAAGGGAGGTGGAGTAGACATTTATATACATTGGAAGAGAGAAACAAAGATCAAGATCAGATATGGAAAACAAAATTTATACAATGATTTATAAGAGCTAGGTTAGGTGACACATATATTAAGAATTCAAAACCAGAAACAAACGTGCATGTTTTGTGTCAATAATCTTGATCTAATTTTATCACCAAAAGCCTGTATGCGTGGATGTTCTTGGATCACAAATTCACTATATATATATATATATATATTCTCTTATCGGGGGATGCCATTGTAAGCAAGCAAGAAAGCAATGAGGTACAAAATACATGGTGTCCGCATGATAATAACGTCTGAATGTCCGCATAAGAGAATTTCTATATATATATAAAACTCTCACTGTACAATTATTGTAGTTATAGTCATCAATAATAATGAAATGTACATACACACAAATACATGCATTAATTTAGTTGAGAAGAATAAGAAGAAGGCACATGGTTAAGACAGAAAATTATCCACAGAAATGTCATTCTTGTCACATATATGCATCAGAAAAGCTTAATTCGCTTTGATATAATCACAAATGCAAGTGGGGATTTTAAAAAAACCAGACCAAATGTAAGGCTATATATTAATTTTTGTGTGTACTAAATGTAAGGCTGATCGCGTTTTCTGCAGAGCCATAATTAAGGAAAGTTGTATAATAAAAACATGCTTTTCTGCAGACATCAGTAAACACGGTTTTGACCAAGTTGGGATTATGTCTCTCAAAGCCTCATAAACGTGTTGGTACAAAACCACGTAATTTGAAATCCTTAATTATTTTATAAACTAGCTACAACGTACTTAGGCTTGGATTGGATATATATATATGCTTGTTAGAAATTAATTAAAAGTTCAGCAATTCATCTCCTAATAGAGGAGATGGGAGTAGCATTGTTTTACTATCTCTGGTCAATAACAATATGCCACGTGAAAAACTTATAAAGCGTGTTATAGCGTTATTGACCGGGGATTGAATATCTCCGTTGCAACTAGCAACACAATTTTTCTCCTAATAGAGGCAGACTAGTATTAAAATCTGACCTACCCAATATTCTACACTTCTCTCTCTCCCTCTCCCTCTCTCTTGTGCATGATCTTAGCTAGCAATATTAATTATAATAAAGAATTCCTTGTCCAAGTGGCACATTTTCATTGGTTCTATATCTTCCATGAAGATATTTGGTCTTTGATTGGGTTACAAACACCAGCTCCATTTTTCCCCTTTTACATTTGCAGGAAACCAGCCCCTTCATTTGATCATATATATGTGATTCACATCTTTATTTATTTATTTATTTATTTTGAAATCAGAAAGAATCTGAGAGAACCAAATGTGGACCTATTCATACCACATATATTACATAAACAGAAGCATTTTATATAACATAATGAGATTTTTCCACATATGCATATGCTTTTCACCAGTGATGAGATTCGGCGCAATGTTTGTCAATTGAAATAGATTTCCTATATGTATGATCGATCGATCATGTCTAAAATACAAAAATGGTACCTACCCAATCTTGCTAAAGGCCGACCATTTTCAAAATTGTAGCATTTTCCCATCTCTAGGTCATTTTTGGCTAGCTAGCTAGCTACACATTACAACATTTTTATTAAGACAAAAAGCATATACAATCTGTCATTTGTAGACCTTTTGAACAGCATAAAGTGACATCAACTTTGGCCCCTTACTCTGAGGATGTTGACGCATTAGCTACTAATAGCCGCACTTCCAAGAAAGGCGGCAAGTATTTTCCTAATTGGACAGTCCAATTGACTTGTCCAAATTTCTGGGGTGCTTCCATGGCCGTGGCTGCCTCTGAGTTGGACTCCACCTAGGAAATGTGAGTACACTTTCTTGGCAAAGAGCTTCACACATATCACAACATTAATTTCTTAATTATATTAATTTAACTACCTAATTCATTACTATGTAGTTGCTTTAGCAAGCTAGCTAATTAGTTTATGATGGCTGCTAGCAACTCATCCTTAATTACACTCTTTAATCAAATTAATTAGACATATATAGGCGGCAAACAGAAAGCCATCATGAAAACATGGAAAATGAATTGCCCACGACTTCGATATATCTCATTATTATTTATTTTAAAGGGGAATCTGATTACTTATTTATAAGTTTTATTAATATAAAATTGAAATTCCATATCTTGTGTGGAACTTTTGTTTGATACTTGTCTGTCCATGGCAAGGCTGAAGTCGGCTTTGTAGTCGTCATCTCATCAGTAGCTAGTATTCACGTTCTCTCTATATTTGGTGCAGTAGTAGGAGGAGGGATTCTATCTATTAATTGCAAAATCTCTCATGCTATCTTGCACATGGATCTTCATGACCTCGAGCAACATTTTAAAATTATCTTTTGCTTTTCTTTCTCAGATCCACAGCCCAAGTTAGTTGATGAAATCTTAAACACCAATAACAAATTAGAAACGAGATCTCAACAAATATGTGTGTATATATATATATATCAAATACCTTCCACATTATATGCTTATATCATATAACATTTTGTATATGTATGAGAGCATTATGTATGTATATACGGGTAATGGTTTTTTTGCCAGACAAATGCTTATATTAATTGCATTAACCATTGTGGTTCATATTCGTACTGTGACAAGTAAATGGAAAAATGACCCTCTCCGTTACCAGATCGCGGGGGCGGATTATCTTAACGTCTCATTTTCCATATAAACAAACCACTAGTTGGTTTGAAACAAACTCTTTGTTTGGTTGGAGAAAAATAACTCGAGATTTAGTTAAAAGTCGGGAATTGAAGAGGAAAAATTGATATTTCCATTTTTTGCAACTTAAGCATAGAACTTATTAAATGACGCGCAGAAAAAAATCGTGGAAATTGGGGATTAAGATTCCCGAGTTTAATTTCAGCCAAAAGAGTCATTATTTCGCAATTCTTCTTGAGCATGAATTCGTTTTTCACTGTAATTTATGTCATTTACAAAATTCGACATATAAATCCAAACACTGAAATTATTAATTGCCAGAAATTTAAAAGATGAAAATCTAAATTCCGTCATTTAAGAATTCTATACAGTTTTCAATTTCTTCATCCAAAAAGTTAGATTCTTAAAAGAAAGGCTCGTGTAACTCTTGTTATGGACTTAATTAGTAATGCCAAAAAAAATAGAAATTTATAATGGACATAAACCCGATCATAATATACCTACTAATACAACCCATAACAATTATTAAATTTGTAAGTTAAAAAAAAACCAATTATTGTTGTTGTTGCTATTTTGGGGTTTGTAAAGAATTACCAACCTTCGTACCCACGACCCCGAAGTTGTGGTGAGAGTTTGCATTTGTAGTTTGCGTTATGGGTGCTATATACTTGGCTTTTTCAGACATGCGTTTATGCCGGACTATCTTTGAGTTTGTAGTATGCATTATAAATTTGATGCTGTCATTGGATTCCTCGGTTGCGGGTAATTTTAGTGGCCCTTGTGGCTATTGTATTTGTATTGTCCTTGTGGCGTAATTTATGAATGCAATCTCCTTACCGTTTGATTAAAAACAAAGTCCCATCTATGCAAACTTGGAACACCATTATGCTTAAAAAACACATAATCAAAATGGACAGTGATGGGCTTGAATTGCAAATCATTTTGTAGAGAAAAAAAAACAACACAGTAAATTGACACAATCAAAAAGCAGAAAAGCAGGTCAAAATATGTTTTGTTGCTAAGAACAAATGGTGTGGGGCCATGAGCAGATATTCTCGGAGTTTCTGCTTTGTCCTACCTTTGTTAACAATCAGAATCTTAAAATCTCGGATAAATTGTTATCTGTGTCTGGTTAGCAGAACTTAACTACTCTTAGATCTCTTCAAATATTTGGTTTGCAGCATGGAGTTTAGGGTAATGGAAAGTGTTTAATTAAAAGATTTAATGGATTTGATCTTTAATTTATGTATTGGTTATTTTTCTTCTTATTATATACAAATACCAAACTTACATATTCCAGTTAAACAATTTATTAACTACAGAATCCCTGGATTTGAAACGGCAATCATTTGATTGGTTTGAAGTATCAACCAACTACAATTTAGCTGCATAATAAAGAGTGCCGCTATAAAAAAAGAAAGATAGAGAGGAGGGCAACTGGGAATCTTACAAGAGCAACTCATTTGGTTCAGGTGGCAATTGATGATGTGGGTGGCGGTGAGGTGAGGAGGGGAGGTTGGGTTTGGTTGTCATGAGGTCGGGTGGGTAGTCTGGAGGTTGTTTGCTGGGCTCTTTTATTTTCTTGGCTTAACAGTGTTAATTTAGAGTTAAGTTCTTAAAAGTCATTTTACAATAGGGTAAATTTGTTTTTAAAATTTTAAAGACAAGGTGAGTAGGAAAATAGGATATGGGAGTGGGAACAGCAGCACTCATAATAAATCCCATATTTTTTTCTAATTAATTAAGAAATAAGAGAACCACCCTTTTAGCCACCATATTCGATATGTATAATCTTAGGATGATTATTATTTTTTTTAAAATATAAGTGATATTCTAAACTACGGGAGGGCTCCCGGTGTTTCTCACATCAAGGCTCTTTTTCATCGGGCTACCGCCGTTGGTGATCTTAGGATGATTGAGATAGGGAAAGTTTGGTAATATGACAGAACCAACCAACCATTGTTGCATGAGAAAATTTATATTTTAAAGAAAAAAACTATAGAGGCATAGGCTTGCCTTCCCTATATATAAGAGGCCCGTCCGTTTGAGTTTTCATTCAAACAGTTCTCTCTTCAGCTCTTTTCTCTAATCTCCCTTAGTCATTGGCCTTTGCCACCAATCGTAGACAAAAAAGGAGAAGCCTGAATATTTTTAGTCATTCCCGTTGCCATCAATCCTAGATTAAAAAAGGAGAAGCGTGAAACTTTTTCGCCACGAATTGAGCTAGCTAGTGATGGCTATAGAGATTGAGCAGCCTTCTGTTGGGCTATCAAAGATAGCTGTTTCTGATACTCATGGAGAAGACTCTCCATACTTTGCAGGCTGGAAAGCATATGATGAAGACCCTTATAATCAATCAACTAACCCTTCTGGTGTCATACAGATGGGGCTGGCAGAGAATCAAGTAAGTAGCATGCTCATGACCAAGACCAAATTGAAACTTTTTTTTTCTTCATTTTTTGTGTTGGAATTCTCATCTAATGTTCATTTGTTGTTTTGATTCTTGAACAGGTTTCATTTGATTTGTTGGAAATGTACTTGGAAGAGCACTCAGAAGCTTCCAACTGGGGATCAAAAGGAGTGCCTTGCTTTAGAGAAAATGCCTTGTTTCAAGATTACCATGGCCTTGTGTCTTTTAGAAAGGCAATGGCAAGTTTCATGGGACAAATCAGAGGAGGAAGAGCCAAATTTGACCCTGATAGAATTGTCCTAACTGCAGGTGCAACAGCAGCCAATGAGCTTTTAACTTTCATTATAGCTGATCCTGGTGATGCTTTGCTTGTACCAACCCCGTACTATCCAGGGTAAGAACTAGTCCCTCCCTCCACAATTCAAACTCACATTTAATGCATATTATTTTTATATAATCCATATATGTATCAAAACTAATTATGTTCTGTGCAAATTCTGTTTCACAGATTTGATAGAGATTTAAGGTGGAGGACTGGTGTGAATATTGTACCAATTCACTGTGGCAGCTCAAACAATTTCCAGATTACTCCTCAAGCTTTGGAAGCTGCATACGAAGATGCAGAGGCCAAGAACATGAGAGTGAGAGGAGTACTAATCACAAATCCTTCAAACCCTTTAGGTGCAACAATCCAAAGGGTAGTTCTTGAAGAGATTCTTGATTTTGTTACCTCCAAAAACATCCATCTTGTCTCTGATGAAATCTATTCGGGGTCCGCCTTCTCATCCTCTGCATTCGTGAGCATTGCAGAGATTCTTGAAGCCAGGCAGTACAAGAATTCAGAAAGAGTTCACATTGTTTATAGCCTTTCCAAAGACCTTGGCCTTCCGGGATTTAGAATTGGCACCGTGTACTCGTACAATGACAAGGTTGTAACAACAGCAAGAAGGATGTCAAGCTTCACCTTAATATCTTCTCAAACACAACATCTCTTGGCTTCCATGTTGTCTGATAAGGAATTCACTGAAAATTACATAAAGACAAACAGAGAGAGACTGAGGAAGAGATATGATATGATCATTGAAGGGTTGAAGAAAGCTGGGATTGAGTGTTTGAAAGGAAATGCTGGGTTGTTTTGCTGGATGAATTTAAGTCCACTCTTGGAGAAACGAACAAGAGAAGGTGAACTGGCTCTTTGGGACTCTATGCTGCATGAAGTGAAGCTAAATATATCTCCAGGCTCTTCTTGCCACTGCTCTGAACCAGGTTGGTTTAGGGTGTGTTTTGCCAACATGAGTGAGCAGACACTTGAAGTTGCTCTCAAAAGAATACATAATTTCATGGAACGAAGAGAGAGAAGTTGGCATCTATTTTCCTGTCTTTGATCTTTTATCTTTGATCTTTTTTTGAATGGTTCTACCCATTTTGATTCTTGAGAAGACAAAATCTAGCTAGTTCATCAGGAATTGGAGATTTGTCTCATCATACGTACTTTAGATTGGATGAAACAACACCCTTGTTTTCTTGCTTGGAAAAGCAAGTTTCACAGAAATCCAACTTCTATAATCAATTGATAGTAGCATTACTTTTCTCTCCTTTAGTGTTTCCTACAAAAGCATCTATCTTTCTCGAATGAGCAAGAAGCATTAATTTTAAGTTTTAATGAAATTTCTGATATGCTTCTAACAAAAATATTGAACAAAAGCATTAGCTCTTAAGTTAGCTCAAGTGGTGAGGAAGGAAGTGTGCCTGATACTGAGAGAGAAACATTCCATAGTGAAACATCCTTAAAATATCCTTTATCTGACGACTTTTGTGCCTAAATTATAAATACAATCTATCGTCTTTATCTCAAAAAAATCTCTTTGCATTACATTTTCATTAGTCATATATTAGTCCATGTCCGGAGATAATTTTGGTGTCACTCAAATAATGCATGTCGTGTATTAATAATAGAACTCATCAATGGAGTTTGGAAGACTAGACTCTTGATACATGACATTGGGCAATTAGAGTTTCGAAGAAAGACCCAAGAAACAACATGTTAATGTGGGGTCGAGAATATTAACAGCTAGAGAGGGAGAGAGAGAGAGACCTAGCCGTATATAAACATCATGGCATATAATTTAGAAATTAGAACATCAAACGTCTACACCCCCTATGACATTTTAATTAATTAAGCTCTGATTCTGTCACTTTCATATCATGCTCATATAACCTAAGCCTGATTGATGTAGTAGGTTAATTTTCTCTGCTTTTTTTTTTATTTTTTTTTATTTTTATTTTTTATATATGAGCATTGCGTGCAATGTGCCATGCTTTACCAAATGTTGGTCCACCACATGCACATGATATAAACCATTTGATACAGACTGGCCCAGAATATATAAAATTATAATTAGGCTATATTAATCATCTAATTAACGTAAATATCCATTCGAGAGATACGGCAAGTTCGATTATAGCTAACCGAAATTGGTTTAAGCAGAGAGATGAAGAAAGCAGAGAAGGTTTAGATGAGCTCAGGTTAGGAGGCGCATCATTAGATAATCTAATCATGTAGGGATAATATGGTTAGGAGGTGTCTATGTCGATCGACAATACTACTTTAAGTGTCATTTGACTTTGATAATCCTTTATATCTTCAAATATAAAAATCTTAGGGAAATCATAATATAACTAGGAAAAGATTCAATCTCTCTTTCATCACCTTTCAAGCATTTTCCATCAAAACTCTTTGAGAAATTATCATATTTCATAAATAAATAAATAAAATTATTGTTTAAGTATATATTTCAAGGCTTACGTGGATTGTTAATTGGTTGAACTTCACGAAAGTCAATTCCAATTATCATTTCTTTTCTAATATGTCGAGGATTATGATAATGTCATTTCATAGATACAAGAACAACGACATTACTAGACGATATGATCTTTAAGCTTTCTCAAACTATAAACAACCCATTTTTGTGTGAAATTCAATGCCGGCTTAATTTTTGATATTACCGTCACACACAAAAATTTCTCTCTCGCTCTTTGAGTTTCTTTTACGACCCATTCTTTTTTAATAGGGTTTAGCGTGAATATATATTCTTCTGCGAAGCAGAGTTTCCGTTCACAATTTCTTGACACATACACACCAAACCCCATTAATCATTTTCCAAGCCATATGTCTACTATTATATATCGCATATATAATTAAAATGTGTGATCGCTACCCATGACAAATCACACGAAAACAACAAACCCACCAATCACAGTCCTCCATGTGGGTCACGAGGGCAATCATCAGCTGCCAAGTAAGCATGTAGAGATGCATAAAATAACAAATTTGGCCAACTACTCCATTTGATTTTTGGCATCGGCATGAAGTTTGAACAGGCTCCATGAAGTGCCAATAATATGATATGCCGGAAAGTGCAAAGCTTTCAGAGGCGTGATGGTCGCTGCCAATTTCTATACGGAGCAAGGGTCCACAATGATCCCAATCAAATGATTCAAATCGCAATAATATACAAGTTAATAGTTATCGATACTGGAATTTTTTATTTTTAGACCTATACGAGTGTAGAAGGTTGGCATAAAATTTTGGTTTTTCAACCAAGACGACTTTAATTAGGATTTTGTGTGCTGATAGTATATATAATTACAAACTTTAGCAAAATGTTGACCGTAAAATCTTTTCAGCCTAACACGTGAATTATTTAGGATAAAATCATCAAGGACGTCTTGCCACGTCACTTGGTTTTGTGCGGATAGTAATGGGCAAAAATCCAGATATAAACACAAATAACCCTGAATTTGAATAAGAGATTTATATATATATATATATATATATATATATGTTAGATAGGAGCATTGATTGGGCCATTAGGGTTTAGCCGGCCATGCTTAAGTCATTTAGCATGCAATATAATATGATTATTACGGTTCATTATCTTGTGTTAATTCACATATTAGAAATTCCAACTATGTTAATTTCTTATATGAATATTGTGTTCTTCTACGAATACGATCCATTGGTTGAGAGTAGACCGATGTCATCAAATCACTCTCGTGTGATGCTAAAATAAATAAATAAATAAATCCTCTCACTCTATTGATGGAAGGTTCATTTTCATTGGACAAGTAGAGGAACAAGTTGTCGGGAGAGTAGTTTGACCATGGTGGAAAGTCTTTCTTCAATTCTCGTCTATATATATAAAGTAAAAGGCAGAGAATGTAAAACATTCAAAATACTAGAAAATATCCTTGGTTAATGCAAACATTAAGAATTGAAATTATTAATTAAATCATATGATAATATGGTAAATTCACATTTTTTTCATATTTAAAATAATTAAAAATAAAAGAAAAATAAGATAATGGATCTTATTTTTATGGAACACAACTGGCCATTATTATTTTTAATTCTAAAATAAATTTTAAATTAAAAAAAAAGCCTATTACAGAAGCGGAAGTACGTGCGGAGAGGCTAGTTCCAAGAACATGAAAAGGTATTATACCCTTTTTAAAAAAAGGGACATTCCATGTTAAAATAAATAAATAATATCTTTCATGCATGAATTATTTTCTTATGAGTGGGCCTACAAAATTTATCGGATCTCATGCAGGCTGAGAATAATAGTGGGCCGACCAAAATTAATTGATTTTCTTTTGGGCCAGCTTGAGATAGCAAAAATGAAAGCCCACAATTCATACTGAAATTCCGAAACTACCCCCGATTGAAAATGAGTGGAAAGCCCAACAGGTAAAACCTCTCTGATCCCAAAACGCGAGAGCTCCCTCTATACTACCATAGCACGCAGGCCGCGCAGCGCAGCACAAGAGAAGCAAGGAGTCTGACAGTCTGAGACTCTCTCTCTTCGGCTTTGCATTCGAATCGAACACTACGAAGACGAAGGTAAAATCTCCTTCAGATTTTGCTTTCTCTGCTTCCAGTTGCAACTTGTTGATTTATCTCAAGGCTTCCGCTTTTGATTGTTTAGATCTTGCGATTTTGGACTAACCCCTTTGTGTGATGCTTTGATTTGGAAATCGGAGCCTGCGAATCTATGGGTTTTAGACCAAGAAGCAAATTTTTGATTTTTTTTTTTTGGCATATGAAGTTTACGGCTGATTTAATTATGTGAGAATCTCGATGGTTAGGGTTTTAGCTTGATACCCATAAGCAATTTTAATTTTTGAGGCAAATGAAACTTAGGGTTCAGAAATTTTGGGAAAAAAAAATTGGGCAAGAGATTGCGGTGCCCGTATAGAGAATGGTCTTGTGTTTTATGGGGCATTGTTGTGCATGGTGCAAATTGATGAATTTTTCTTTTTAATTGTGCCTAGATTACCTGTTCTTGTTGAATTATAGTTCTTTCACTTGTTTTAAGGTAATTAACTGATTATATTCTGAACTTAGGATTGATTTGGGCATTGATGGCATCAAAGTTGCGCCAGTTTCAATCTAAGGCTTGTCAAGCAACACAGTTTGTGTCCAAGCATGGAAGTACCTACTACAAGAATTTGTTAGAGCAGAACAAGCAATACATTCAGCATCCACCAACAGTTGAGAAGTGCAGTGAGCTGTCAAAGCAATTGTTTTATACTCGACTTGCTAGGTTATATTTCTTAACCTTCTTTGTCTAAGGACTGAATTGAGTTATAACTTGGGCTTCTCTGGTTGGAGTGCCAGAGTGAATGAAAGTTTCATATATGTTGACTACATGCTCTTCAAGATTTATGTGAGTTGAATCACCTTCCTACCACCTAGAGAGCCTGAATGAATTAATGCATAGTAAGTAACTAAACAATGTAACTCAAGATAAGTGAGTTGAGTAACAAATCTTAGCAGGCATTATCATTACACACAATAATGGCATAAGATTATTTCAGACCCACTCTGCCCATCATCAGGATTGAAACCATGAAAATTCTCCAAAGAAACTATTCTCTTCAACTTGTAATTACAATATTTTTTTGTTATTAGTTTCCTTTAATTTCTGTAATGTAATTTTTTGGTTTTAAATAAGCAACATTCTCTAGCTCTGAAGCTTGAATTGATGTTGATACAGTTGTTGTAATTGAAGGAGAAGAATGTAGATTGCCTTGCATGTTCTTGTTGCCTCCATCTAATTTCTCTGCTTTGTAAAGAAATTAGTGCTCTTTGGAAAAGCTAATTAAAGTTTCTTTTCTTTTTCGCCCTTTTCTTTATGTTCATAAGTGCTCTAGATACTTGGTGGGGTTTATGTTGATAATGTAGCTTATAGTTTAGTACTGGGCATCCAAGTGTCAATTTTCTTTGTACATCCTGGATGTGGCAATACGTTTTTATAGCAGACTATTTCGATACGTGCTTGAATTGCAATTTGTTCATGGGCATCCAATGGTTTGGTTGTGTGTATCATCAAGTCTCAGATTTATTTTGGGACCTGAGAACTCATCACTAA